AATATTGTTAGTTATCTTTAATTTAAGCAAACCATGTCTTCCTACTTTCTCTTAAAAATGTCTAGCCTACACTTCCATCATTAGAGCAATCCCAAAGGGAATCTGATACTTAAAATCAAAAACTGTTCATATAGACTGTTCATCAACTTTAAGTTGCCTACATAAAAGACCCCCTCAGATTTTAAAGATAAAATAAACCATCAAATTTTATCAATCACTGTGATTCATGCCATTTTGAAGTTCCATTTTGAGATGGGCAATAATTGGAAAAGCTGAAAATTCTGCATCCCCCACTTATAATTTTATCCAGCTTCTTAAGGGTTTGGGGGCAGTCTTAAGAATGAAAATGGGCTTCCTTATCTCATCCTTCAAAATACGAAGGAAGAAAAAACCTTGTCACTGAAGTGCAATCAGTTTGCTAAAAAGACCATGAGATTTCAGTGAGGGAGAAAGCAACATTCGGCCTATGGATTACCTACCTTTTAAAACCCAATCTTAAACAGATCATATGACCAACATGGATCGTTGAAGGTAAATGATAGATTTTCATCAATATGTTTGTCAAAAGCATGAGAGGAGGGAATGTAAGTGCAGAAATCAAGAACGGAATTCAACTTCTCTAAAAACCCTGCCCATGATAGGGAAAAGTCTTAAGCTACTGCTGGACAAGCTACCTTCTTTCTCCTCTAGCAAATCAAGCTGAATAATAAAGAGCCTCTTCATAATGAAATGGCAGACATTGAACACAGAGCACAGAATCATAGGGCTGTTAGGAACTTCAGAAGTCCTTCAAGTCCAAGAACCTGTTCAAACAGGAGACCTTATACCATCCTGGTCAAATAGTTGTCCAGTCTAATTTTGGAAACCTCCAGTGATGGAGCACCAATATATAAATTAGCTGTTTGAGAAAACATTGTACCTAAGTACACAGAAGAGCTCTCCTTTCCAGACTGTTCCTTATAGGATCCAAAAGGAAAAAAGTGACACTGAACACATTTTGACCCTGCAGGTTCCAAGAACTAATTCTATAAAATATGTTCAATCAGTTTTACTAGCAGGTTAAATTCAGGCAGAGGTAAACAAAAGCAATGACCACAGAACAGAGGGCTGTAGTCCCTATAGACCAGGGGTAGGCAACCTTGGCTCTTGCTGGCTCAGGAATTCTGGGAGTTGAGTCCACGAGTCATAAAAGAGCCAAGGTTGCCTACCCCTGCTATAGACCATCCAGCTCTCCACTTAATGGAAGAAACCTAGAGCCTCAAAGTTCTTTCTGGCTCTACTTCCCAAAACCAATGGGAGGGGGGGGATAGACAAGATCTAAGAATCTCTACCTTCTCCCCTCCAAGGCACTCTTCCTCCCCACTCCTTTTTAAGGTAGCATGGAGAGGATAGAAACTGGAAAACTGAGCACAAGCAGATGACCAAATTTAATCCTGCAGACCATACAGTGTAATTCTTCCTACTATGAAGACATGGATTGAATCAATTTTCCAAATTCATTACTTAAAGCCTGGCAAATATAATCACAATACAACACAAGACTTGGATTGGCAAGTCTGGCATTTGTTTTTTTTCACTGGGTATTCTAAAAGCCTATACAAGTTACTTTTTTCAGGTCTGTCTTAATTCTCTAGTACTGGGTCAGTCTTTCTTTTTTTTTTTCCAGAAACGAAGGGCTCAAATTTAGGTTCACGGCACTTGTACATACATTCCTGAATCTGTAAACAAGGAACACTGACATCTGGGTAAATGAAATTAGCAACTAAATACACCGGTTAAATCTAACTGCCCAGGCAGCTATATAGTCCATCTATATTATAGCATGTAGTCGTTGGACTACAAATAAATGAATTGATATCAATCCACTAGCTACACAGAATCCTAAAACTAGGTTAATAACTTATTCTTAATTGTAGTACTGTATCCCATGCTTTTTCATACTGTTTATTCTGGGATTTGGCATCAGAATATTGTTACAGAGCTTGAAATAGCAAGATGATGAAAAGTTTAGACATGCCTATATGAAATTGCAAGCAACACTGAAAAATGCATAGAAATTCCAAGATGTAATATTATTTATCTTGATATTAAAATACTTCTGCCATCTAAGATGCTACAAGCTTTCCTTTAAATAAATAACAGTTTTAAAGAACCTGAGGATAAATAGGATAAAAATTAGAGGCAGAAGAAACTTGTGCTAATGTCATCTCTGGAATCGGGCTACTGAGTAGACATCCTGATTGCTCCTCAGGAAAACTCTCAAGGTTAAATAGACAAAAGAAAAGAAAAGAAGGGAAATCAGTCCAAACAGTACCAAACATTCTGCATTATTTACTGCTAAGCAATTTTTGGTTAGACTCACACACACAGGGTTTTGGTTAGCACTATCTTTAAAGTAATACAGTAAAGTATATTTTCTAATATTTTATCTGAGCACCATTTCAAAGAAATCACAGCTGATTTAGCTCGTTGGCTAGATTTTTAAACCAGACAATGTGCTTCTTTCTGAAATACAAATTTTCCTAAGAACATTGGCAGCATCCCTTGTTGCAGTACATCAACAAATGGAAGGAACCACTTCTTTCATTTCCAAATTGTACAGCCTCTGTCTCTTACAGAAGCTCTTTGATGCTTTATCCCAGGCAGGAACAGTAAAGGTAGCAAAATTTCATAAACTCTGGGATCACAAAATTAGCTGCTCCTCTTGCAATCAGCAATGGCAGAACACATCCCACTTACATATTTGCAAGGCTCTGCTGCCAAAAATATGTAAATGTGCATTAGTGTGATTACCGTAAAATTAATCTTGATTCAATAGGCCAGTGTCCTGTCCCAAAGTCCACATCTCTCCTTGCTCCTTCCTGTAAAAGTATCCCAGTTTCTCAAGTTGCAAATTCAGATCTACTGAGACAACTGCATTTGAAATATCCTTTTACCAACATTAAATGCATTACATATTTAGTCTTTCAATGTACTGTGCCTCCTTTTTACTAGTTAGCAATTATTGGAACAATTAATTTATTTCCCTGAGAACTTTTGTTTTGTTGTACTCCAAGAAGAAACAATTTCATGGGTTAGGATATTCCACTTGTCAGTTTATGAAATGCAAGTATCATCACCTTTAGCATTTTAAATTAAAAACAAGTCCAACTGTTTCAACTGAGCTTGTTTTCAAAGATATACGCTCAGTTGCTTAATTATACTTTCCAAGGTAGAGTAGAAGTTAATAATATAGCCCTTAGAGAGTTCTAGGTTTAATAGTTAAAGGCTAGAATGAAACTTTTAATTCAATATTTAGTAAGTTAGTTTTGATGCCTTCTTGTTATAACAAGGCCTTTCAGTCAGTGTTGGTGCTACATTTTTAAACATAAAATCATTATTACTCATCATTAGAACAAGCTCCAGTTCTTGGAAATCTTGAAGTCTTGAGATGTCTTTGTCCTTAAAGAAATTAACACAGAAAATTAGAAGCAATGCTTAGAAGTCAGCACAAGGCACACAGTACCAAAACATTTGATCATTTTTTTCACGATCTGCTTGGCTGGAACAGATATTTTGCCCCTCTTTAAACTCTTTTAATTCCACGGTTGTTCCTAGTTATATTTTTAAATATACTTCTGTGTATTGAAGAGGATTAAATTTAATTGGAAAATTATAAATCTCTGGGAGTCTTGTTGGAGTGCAGCAATCTAGAGCAGTGGTTCTCAATCTTTTCTTCACCATGGACCCCCTTTAAATACCACGGATCCCAAAGACTTAAGATTTAAATCATAACATTTCTTCAGGCCCTCGTGGACTCTCTGTGACAACATTGTGGGCCCCCAGGGATCCATGGACCACAAGTTGAGAACCACTGATCTAGAAGAATATGAAATAAAATAATTAGAAAAACATTGACTGTTGCTTTCTTCTTTCTGTCCCCTTCTCTTTTTGCAAATCTGTGAACTAGGTTTTTCCAATTTTTAGGATATGTGCAGTTTGTAATAAGTTTTAGGTTCTTTATAATTACAAAGATTAGGTTGTTAGGAATTTTCACTTAGATCCTCCTGAAATCAATCTGAAAAAGTTAGTTGTGATTAAATGAATTTCTATAAAGTTTTCACCGAATTTAATTTGGAGTCAAACAAATGGCAAACTTAATCTATGCTATAAGTTTAATAGGAGTTGGAAAGAAATAACTGAAGCAAGATTTTGATGGTAAAGCATTGGAATGTAACCAAAAAAGGATAGTTATGCAGATATGCACTAGTTATCGTGAATGCCTTTGGGGCTCAGTTTCAGCTCTTTGATATGTTGTTCTTACAAGTTATGAGCTTTATATGGAAGTGGATGCTTGCAAAATCTAAAAACAGCCCTGTAAGTATCACCACGTAAAATAACTACTGAAGGACAACATTTCTTTAAAAGGTGGGTGTCCTGTGTATAGCTTAGTCTGCACTGAGTGCTGGACAGCGCAGAACAAACATTATTATTATTATTCACATGACAATTCTTCTCCCATGTCTGCTAATTTTGCAGCATTTGCACATGTCAGTCTATTTCTCTGGAAATAATTGCTCAGAATTTTCCTGCATACAGGTTGCAGCATTTAGCATATCCACAAATCCCTTACAGAGTTCACTGAAAATAAAACAGAGCTTGAGCAGAGCAAAATAATGTAATATTTATGCATAACAAATCCACTCATAAAAAAGGAATGTTTACTGAGACTGCATCCAAATCCTTCATCTTTTAGTCACTTTTATGGCAGAATTCCATTTCTAGACTTTATAAACTGAGGTTCTACGTATATCACAGTATTTTGGACACTGACATTTGGTATTATCACCAAACATTATGAACTCCAAAGTGACCAGTAATCGCTAAAGAAGAAATGAGGTTTATGAGTAATCCATTACATTGGTATTTAATTAATCCGTTTTTGTGTAGGAAATGCCTCACTATATGCAATTAATTATGCAATGTTTGACATACTGATTTGTTTCCCATGGCAAGAACTATATATAAAATTAACCTTAGGTTCCTTGTAATGACCAAGTGCAATATTATCTATTATTAAGACTGACAAAAAGACCAATAGAGCAGTGCCATACAATAGTTATTGGCTCGTGACCAGTTGTTTAATGACCATTCAGTCATGCCAGCTTCAGGACAGGTGGTTTGCTGTCCATAAAAGCATTCAGAATGGGTGCTTTACAGCTCGTAATATGTGATAATAATAATAATTGTAAAATGTCATGCCAGCCCCTCATCTCCATTACATAACCACATTTTGGATGCTCGGGCAACCTATTCACATGTACAACCAGTTGCCAAATGATCTGCAATTGTGATTGTCATTTTCAATCTTCTCTGCCAGAAAAACAATGGGGAAGTCAGCGGGGAAGATTGTGAGCAGAGGGGAAGAGTGGACTTGGGGTTCATTTCCCCAGCACGCCAAAGGATTAACACACCCCTCTGTGCAGGGGGGGGGAAGGTTCTTCTCAGGCACTGGAGGAACAGAGCTCAAATCTGGTGAAAATGCTAGCTAATGCCATTATTCTGGAAGACTCAGAAGGCTGAGGTTCACTAGCATTTCCCCTTCTGGAGGGAAGAAGGGCGAGAAGAGCATTCACCAAAGCACTTAGTAAATGTCAGCATTTTGAGCCTTCCAGAACAATGGCGGTCACCAGCATTTTTGCCAGATTTGAGGTCCATTCCTCCAGCAGACCAAGATTTCCTCAGGGAGGGGAGGCCCTTCATTCCAATGAAAGAATGGACTTTAAATCTGACAAAAATGCTAGTGAATGTGTTTCACTCGGAAGGCTCGGAAGGCTGGCATTCACTAGTGTTTTCCTCATCAGAGGGGAAAATATTAGCAAACGCCTTTGTTTGAAAAGCTCAGAAGGCTAACGTTTGCTAGCATCTTAACAAATGCCACCATCTTCACCCGTATGAACTTCTCATGGCCATTCCCCTGTGGAGCAGGAAGAGAGCCCAGGCATGAATGCCAGGGAGGCCGGGGCTCTCTCCTGGGCACTCTGCTTAACAACCTGCATGGTCACTTAATGGCCGCAACTGGGAGAGTCAGGGTTGTGTTTGCTGAACGAGGTGATCATATAGCATCCTACTCAACAATCAAATTCTGGGCCCAGTTGGGGTCGTAAGTGGAGGACTACTTGTACGCGATTACTGAAAAGATCGTCATAAATTATTTAGAGGGGCTTCCCCCCCACATAACGGAGGAATCAAAATACCATATAGACATTCAGCCTCACATATACAGTATATTCATTGTAGCCCTTAAATATATAACGAAGACTGCCAAATGAGATTCACTAAGTGAAATGCAGCTCTCCAGCTAGACATTTTGGCTGGACTGGCCAAATGCTTCTAGGTTTGTGCAATCCTCTTGAGATGTCAAAACCCAGGGAATTGTGAAACACTAAACAGACCACAGTGCATACCTGCTGGACTGGACTGCATTTGACTTAGAAAGTCATAAATTCTCCCAAGACACTCAGAACTAACTTGAAATAAACAATGTACCTTTCTTAATACAGTATTTGGAAGCTTCCTGATTTTCTCCACATGTTCGGGATTAACTCCCAATTCACAGCAGCTCACCCGGAGCAGTTCTTTGTACGTCAATTCTTGTCGATCCAATTCAATTTCAATGAAGTCATTCTCCTTCAGGGCACGATTCTGAATTCTGACCTTAAGTACCAATTCTAATTAAAATACCCAAATAAAAAGACAGTCATTAGTAGACGTGTAGCAGTTTCCTCAATCTTAATTCCATTTTAACAATTTCCCCTATTTATTCTGACCAGGACATGCCAGTGAGATTCCCAAAACAATCCTACACCATAGAAAGCAGGTAGTGAGAATTTGTGACGCTCTAATGAGCCCACCATCCCGCACTATGGGTTACATTGCGGATCAGCAAATCTGAAAAAAAAATCAGTTTCCCCACCTTGGAGTGGAGGGCAGAGGTTATATTTGTAGTACAGATAGTCCTCGACTTACAACAGTTCATTTAGTGAGTGTTCAAAGTTACAACAGCACTGAAAAAAGCAACATATGACCATTTTTCACACTTACAACAGTTGCAGCATCCCTGTGGTCACATGACCAAAATTTGGATACGTGACAACTGACTAAATATTTATGACGGCTGCAGTGTCCTGGGGTCATGTGAACAACTTCTGCGACCTCCTGACAGACAAAGTCAATGGGGAAGCCAGATTCACTTAGCCACCGTGTTACTAACTTAACAACTGCAATGATTCACTTAATAACTGTGGCTAGAAAGGTCGTAAAATGGGGCAAAACTCACTTAACAAATAATATCCATGGTGTAAAAGCAAGCATTGATCATGTTGTAAAAGTAAATCTGATTCTTTCAGTTGGCCCAGTTCATGGATTAACGTTTGATGGCTTATCGTGGGAGCAATGGGAGCCCACAACTCACAGAAGGAAATGTAGATCTTACACGGTAGTGCCTGACAAGCATAGGATCCTAATTCCTGTGGGGTGGGAAGTGGGGGGGTGAATCATTCCTTTGTTAGACTAATTCTGTTCTTAGTAGAAAAAAGGCTGCACTTCAGAAACATGACTCAAATTTAAACAGCAATAATAAAGACTTATGAGCTTTGCTCTTTGGAGAAATGGAAAATCATTGCAATGAATCATTGGCACATTGACAGCCTTCAATTTAGAAGTTGGCCATAAATGTTTTATTAAAAGCCCTGAAAATTCAGTTCCCACAGAGGATGATAGCTATCTTAAATGTGCAGCATTTAATACCAATGTCTTATCTATCAAATACACAATAGTGTAAGTAATTATCATCGATAACAAAAATCATGTCACATTTGTGTTCACGATTTTAGAATGGGCTTCTCAAAGAGGTTTAATTTTAGCTAAAACCTTTTTCAGTACTAGCTTTTTACAATATTGTATTGCTTGTATTATTTTTCTTTTAAAAAAAAAACCCCTGGATTTTAATCTTAGATTTTTAAATATTTTAATTACCGTAAACCTTGAAGCACACATAGAAAAAAGCAAGCTGAAATATTTTATAGACTAGATCCAATTTCCCGCCTTTGTCCCGGGCTACCTGTCAGGAGCAGATTTTAGATTAAGGATATTTAAAAGCAGTGAGCTGGATTCCTTGTTTCCTTTCTGCTATGGGATTCATAGATAACCTGTAGTGCAGCAATTAAAGAATTTCATTGTGACTGGGAAGGCCCAGGTTCAAATTACCCTTAGTGATATATATTCAATGGATGACTTGGGGTTAATCACTCCCTCTCAGTCCAAACTGCCTGGCAAAATCACTATTATAGGAATAAAATGCAGGGAGCTCCCCACAGTCGCTGCTATGACCTTTTGTAGGAGGTAAATGAAAAAATAAACTTTAAATAAATATAACCAAACTAGCTGTACCCAGCCACGTGTTGCTGTGGCTCAGTCTGGTAAAAGCGTGTGTTGCTTTTATGTTCAACAGATGGCGCTGTTTTTCAAAAAAAAGCATGTTTTTACCTGTCACAGGTGTGACATCTATATAATATAGGTATATAAAAACACGTGCGTATTCGAATGCAACGTTTTGTCAAAATTTCAAAGCAATCAGTGAAGAACTTTCAGAGATTTAAGATTTTGAACAAACGAACATTTACATTTTTATTTATATAGATATATTTCTACCTTCTATCAGGAATGCTTCCAGCAAAAATCACTGCTGCCATATTATTATTATTATTTTAAAAAAGCATGGTTCATTTTTTTTAATCAAAAACCAGTGGCATGCATTGAAATGACAAAAGCAATAAAATACAGAAAATAACACCCTATAAATACACTGATTAATTTGGGAGGTCCAGGATCAATTCTGATTAGTAGCTGAAGAGTGACTTCTCATGCTAAAAGTTTACATTAAAGCGCCAGGCAAAGTGTCTGAAAAAAATATTTCACAACACTAAGCAGCTGGTTTCCTGTGCACCAACCATGTACACCAGGCTAGGCTTGCAAAAAATATAGATCCTCTTTGAAGAGAAATGTTTATTAATACCTGTATGTGTCATAAAGCATTTCTTCTGAAGGTTTCCCACAGCCCTCTTATATAGAGCTGCTTATCTAACAAAAGAGACAGATACGAGTTCTGCAACTCTAAAGTAGCCATATCGCTCTATGGACACACATACACACACTTGAGCTAGTAGTATCACAGAAAAAAGATGTTCTGAGGAAGAGCCTGTGATCAATTTGCATGTACATTTAATATGACCCCTGAAAAAAATCTGAATGACAGATTCTGCTCACGTTTGCCTGTTCAGTGGGTTCCCAATCATGCAGACAGACCTCACATACATAAACTTTTTTTTTACTTTCTAAGCTCTTTCAAGCATCAAACGGAATATACACAGAAATGAGAATTAGAAGCTGTGTGCGCCACAATCCTTTTGCCTGCACATTCAGATCTATGTATGAGTCTATGAATAATTTTGAAGTGAATGTTTTCTCAGGATATCACAAAAAAAGGAACCAGAAACTCTACTGGATTTTACTTACAGTTACCTAAAAGATCTTATCCTAACTACAACAGCAGGCAAAAAAAGCGGCAAAAGTTCCAAGCGAAGAAATAAATTTTTTGTACAGTTTTGTGAAAATTGTGATAATGATGCATGTACTTAAGTTGTCTGGAAACCGCACAATTTCTCTACATAAGGTTACCTTGCATATTATTAAAGGGAATTGCTCCGGTAAAGAAGAAGGGCTGAAACGTTGGGACAGCTCCTGCGTAAGGGCCACTGGGTTTCTGGGTTTCTGGTTGTGTAGATCCAGCTGGGGAACAGTGTGTCCAGCTTGGAGGAATAGAGAGCTGATGAGCATGACCATTCTGAACAACGGGCTCCAGGCATTCTATAGCGATTGCTTTCGCCACGTCTCCATCACATCCTACAGAAGACTTTCCATGTTGCAATACTTCTGTGGCAGATGTCTGTGCTGGAGGCAGAGAAACTGGAGGGTCCATGTTGTGTTTTTGTAAAGAAGGAGAAAGTCTTCCATTCAAAGAGGAAGCTGAGGTGCTGGAAGTGCTGTTACTCATGGAGTTGTACACATAAGGAAAAGGCGGGTTAGATAAATAATTCGGGATAATTGGCAAGTCTTTCTTCACATCTAAAAGCTCATCAACATCTTCCACTACAGAAGAGAAAAAAAAGGAGGGTTGGTTACAATATGTACATAAAAATAGGTGCTATTTATGTTTAGCCACAAAGGTTATGCTACAATAACAATCCTTTTGAGAAAATAGGTATTAAATATACAGCACATATAATATACAGTATGTGTGTATGTAGTACTAGCCCTCGTTTTTAGCAAATTAAAATTCAACAGTCCATATCTGATTTTTTTATTATTAAACCTGTGAAAGGTTCACATACAGGAAGTCCTCAACTTATGATCACAATTGAGCCCAAAATTTCCGTTGCTAAGCAAGATAGTTGTTAAGTGAATATTGCCCTATTTTATAACCTTTCTTGCCATAGTTAAGTGAATCACTGCAGTTAACTTGTTAAGGGAATGTGGCTTCCCCGTTGACTTTGTCAGAAGGTCACAAAAGGTGATCATATCACCTCATTGTAAATACTGTACATATCAGTTGCCATACATCAGGGGTCTTCAAACTTGGCCCTTTTATGACTTGTGGACTTCAACAGCCAGCGTGGCTGGCTGAGGAATTCTGGGAGTTGAAGTCCACAAGTCATAAAAGGGCCAAGTTTGAAGATCCCTGCCATATATCCAAATTTTGATCGTACAATAGTGGGGAGGCTACAATGGTCGTATGAAAATAATTATAAGTTACTTTTTCAGTGCCATTATAACTTTGAACAGTCACTAAATGAATGGTTGTAAGTTGAGGACTACCTGTAGTCACATTACTAATAATTCTAATTCAAGGTCACAAAATAAAAAGTCCACAAGGGAACCCATAGGGCAGTGATGGCGAACTTTTTAGAGACCGAGTGCCCAAACTGCAACCCAAAACCCACTTATGCATCGTTGGGTGCTGGGTGGGTGTGGCCCATTGGGTGGGCGTGGCTGCGGTGGTAACGGCAGACTGGATGGGTCTAAAAAGTTCAATCAATCAATTCCAACTTTGCAAGATCTTTTTTTTCCCCGCAAGAAGTTGAAATTGATTGATTGATTGAACCTTTTTTTTTTTTGCACACAGCGGTGGAGGCCTAAAGTGAAAAGGTTTTATAAAACCCAGCTGAAGGCCTAGGACTGGGGCGACAGTGCGCATGCCCACAGAGAGGGCTCTGAGAGCCGCTTCTGGCACCCGTGCCATAGGTTCGCCACCACTGCCATTCAAACCATCTCCTTGGCATTCTAATTTTCTATAATACATATGAACTGTCAAATTATACAGTATTTTACCTCCCAGCATCTTCCTAATTTCCCTTTTGGATGTTAACTGGAGTGCTTTTTCTTCTTTAATAGTGAGAATGTCTTTATCTGCACCAGCCTCTAGAAGGTATGCCACCACCAGGGCATGGTTTCGTTTACAGGCCCAGTGCAAGCAAGTCCTGTACAAGAAAAAGATACAGACTTATTGAGAAGCTTTATTAAGGGGAAAGGGAAGGATGACCACTTCCCTTCCACTAAGCAATTGTGTCACAATTTAGATATCCTTATGGTGACACCTACTGGACAACCCTCAGAAAACAAAAAGACGATGCTAGAAATGTCATGCTTTCATCTTAGGTCTTCAAGTAGCCAGAATAATATATTTTAAGTTTTCCGATATCTGAGGCACACACTCCTCATTTTCATTTTGCACACTTCACCCCAGAAGGTTTGTCTTTATCAAACAGTTCAGTTCAAAATGTGAAACTTTCACGTGTAAAATTATATTTTGCCAATAAAACTCTTTAATTGGTCAAGATGCAAATTTTTTTTCAGAATATTTTCCTCACTGCAAATCAATCATTCTCAGTTCAACAATCTCAAATTATGTTGATAGCAAAATCTATACTGCTGGGGGAAATTCCTTTTCCCAATTTATAATATTTGAGCTAACTGCTAATACATATGCTAGTCTTATATCAAAATGTTTTGAAGTAAAATGACTTTCTTTCAGCATTCTCTTTCCTTAATCTTTTTTCTAAAAGTATTTGGATTTAGAGATTCTTCCATGAAAACCAGTACCTTGCTGGTGGACACAGAGTCTATTTTAGCTAGACCAGGTATAGGGAACTTTGGCTCTTCTATGACTTGTGGACTTCAATACCCAGAATTCCTGAACCAGCCATGCTGACTCAGGAATTCTGGAAGTCCACAAGTCATAAAAGAGCCAAGGTTCCCTACCCCTGAGCTAGACAATAGTTTGGAAACAAAAGGACTAAAGAAATTACAATTTCTGTCAGCCTAATGCAACAATCCCTCCAGCAACTTTGTTCCCTTTCAATCAGCCTCCACCAAATACAAATAATTCTAATAGAAGGAAATATCTGTAGCTCAGGATTGGATTGTGGGGTCCTTGGTGATCTCTGAGCTTAGTTGTTTGCTTGCAGACATTTCATTACCCAACCAGGTAACATGATCAGTGCTGGCGTCTGTGAGGTTTGTATCCTGTTTATATGCAGTACATATAGTACATATAGCCTTGTGGTTCTAATACTATTTTGGTTGTTTCTGATCTGCTCTTGATGTACGGTAGTGTTATCCTTTTCATAGTGGTGTTAATTGCACTATAGCGGGTTGAGTGGTCAGGCACTTTTTGATAAAGTTGTTTGGGTATCCATTTTGTTGGAAGATTTGCTTGCGGGCTGTTTCCTTTTTGGGGGGGTGTTATGGGATGCTGCAGTGCATTTGTACTAATTTAAATAATGTTCTCACTGGAGAAGAGCCTAATGCTGGGAAAGATTGAGGGCAATAGGAGAAGGGGAAAACAAAGAATGAGGTGGCTGGATGGAATCACTGAAGCAATAGGAGTGAGCTTAAATGGACTCCAGAAGATGGTAGAGGACAGGAAGGCCTGGAGGAACGTTGTCCATGGGGTCGCGATGGTTCGGACACGACTTCGCAACTAACAAAAACAACAAAATAATGTTCTTACACAGCTCCTCCTGTGGGAAATTTGGCTGTTACTTTGGAAATGGAGCATTTAGTTAGTGTGGGAGGTTTTTTTTTTATAGCCTTGCATTTCTAATTTGCCATTATTTCCTCTGCTGATGACAATACCCAGAAAGGGCAGAGTATTATTGTTTTCTTTTTTTCTTCTGAATATTATTCCCCTGATGATATTTTTTCATGTGTCTTCTCTAGTTGTTCCTTTATTATATGACAAAGGTGTTGTTTACATACCAGAGCCATACTTTTGGTTGTATGTGTGAGAGTTCTAGAGTTTCTAGATGTCGCATTGCAGTCTCTGCTATAAGTCCTGAGAGTGGTGATTCCAAGGGTGTTCCTCTGATTTGTTGGCATATTTTTCTATCAAACTGAAATTAAGTTAGTGAGGTCCATGATTCTAGGTATTTAACTCTTGTTGTATTTGTCTAGGTGTGTTGTGTAGTAGTGCTGCCATGAATATTTTCTCTAATTCTGGATCTATGAGTGTAAAGAACGCTGTGACATAAAAAACGTAACTTCAATTTCTATTTTTAGGTCTTTGATTTTCTAGAGGCACTGTAGTGAGAAGTTAATAGAACAGGGGTGTCAAACTGCCCGCCCGCAAGCTGGATCTGTCACGCTGAAACCACGCCCACCCCATTGCCGGCAATGGGGGGGAAATCGTGATACATCACAACACGTCCCGTGACGTTGCAAGTTTGACACCCCTGTAATAGAATATCTGTTCCCCTCTGTGGGATGTCTAAGCTCTTTAGTAAGTTCCTTGGCTATGGTGTATGTTGGGGAGCCTGGTAACAATACAACTGGGCAAAAAGGCATATCAGTCTTGTGTATTTTTGTATGTCCATAAAAGAGTGGAAGGATAGGTCCATTGCTTTTCTTCTGCTACTGTTCTTCTTTTCACATATGGCCTTTGAGAAAACTGTGAGCATCCTAGATCAAGCTAAATCCAAAATAAATCAACCATATTTACACATCATTCAAAAGAAACAATAAAGCAGCTAAGAAGAAAAAAAACAGAACACGTCATCTTCAGCAGCCAACACCTACATAAGCAGAAATTAACACCAAACAAGCAAACAGAAAATAATATTCTAATCAAAGAATTACCAAACAGAAAATCACACCCCCACCAAACCTGGCAGAGCAAGTTTACTGTGTATAAACAGAGAGCAAACCCACACTCAGTTGCAGATGTTATCCAGTTGGTTTATGAAACCTCTGCAAGCATACAACCAAGCTCAGAGAGCAGAAATAATTATGCTAGAGCTGGCTGATGTAGCTGGTGAAATGGAACCACTGAGCTGAGATACAGCAGAATGATCTTCTCTAATGTTATCACCCTGTTATCCTGAAAAAATATTTCTTTCTGTACTATTTGCACCCTTCCTCTCCTCTGAAAGCTATGGCACATATATTCAACAAAATTCATAGCGCCAAATGTCAGCCAGGGAGTGAACTTGCTAAACAAACAGGTATTTGAATGTAATTATTTCTGCTTAAAACTGAACCCTTTTTCTTGTTTACAATTACTATATCTAGAAAGTATTTTTCCTATTCAGCAAGAAAATGGTAAAATTTAACCTAACACTGTATATAAAATTTACAAATATAAAGCTACTGTTATTATTGTTATTACTGTTTAATAGCAATAGGGTTTCCTTTGAGACTACCACAAATTTACATCAACTTTCTTAAAACACTAGATAAAACCATAAATGTCTAATTAATTCTGTGTTTTGTAAGGAATGTGCAGTGTTATCCTGTAAATTATTAACAATTTCATATCAGAATTATTGTGTAAGGATCTCACGAGCTAATAACAGAACAGTATAAGGGAAGAAAATGATTAGCAGCAAGATGGATGAACTTGATTTCAGTGGCCATGGGTATACTGTTGGAACATCTAAAGGGCCAAGTTGGGAACAGATCATCCTGGAAGACTATTGATACAGATGCTAAAAGTTGATTTGATGGCACATAATCAATTTATAAACAATTATTTAATCTCTCAAAAACTTTTCCAACACTTTTGATGTGATCAAAATTATCTCAGAATGTTTTGTAATATGTACAAATCTTTTTATTTATTCCTTCCATTTCCACAACTATTTGGCAATACGTTACTAACAGAGAATATTCTGAAATCAGCTCTCCATATTACATTACAAAGCTGTCACAACTTTTGCAATGTATTAATTATATAAAGGACACACTGACCGAATATATACAGCAAAAATAGATATTATCTTTACATTTTCTAGCATCAAGATATTAAAATCACCAGAATATCAGATTCACCCATAAAACCTAACAACAGAAATCCTAACAGATTTAACTTTTAAAGTTTAGATTTGTTCTGTAATTCTAGATCTTCTGAAACATATCAGGCACTTCTAAAAAGCTTGAAAATAATTTTAAAAGCAATAAAATAAACCAGAAAATATATTTTAAAATTTCCAACAATTACTTCATAGTTTTTTCCCATAACTATGAAAATATATAAATGATTGGATCTTTGGTATTACTCTTATTTTGTAATATTATTAATACCATATTATTCTTATATGGTAATATAGGATTACAACCAAATGTAAGAAACCAACTTAAATAGAATAAATTAAAAGAATACTTAAATGTAATATGCCAAGTTTATAAACCAGCAAAAGGCTTAATCATTTTTCCCAAGTTATGCATATTTAATACGGCAAAGCTGAGAAATAATAAAAATAATTTATTTTTAACAACCGAAACTAATTGAACAAAAATACTGCCGAAATGCGTTTTCTAAAGCAAGATTACTATAACAATGTTTTAAAAGACATGAACCGGAAACTTGTCAAGTAATTTACTTGCCAAATACTTACCAGCCGTTGATTTCATTCTGAGAGTTCACACTCACTCCAAAATCCACCAATCGCTGAACTTCCTCAATATCTCCCAAAGCAGCAGCTTCTCTCAGTCTCTCTTGTAGCTCTTTTTCCTCTACTGCAGAAGTCATGTTATGAAATTCTCTCCACAGTCAACTTTAGGATTATCAAATGCCTGCCTACCTACTGTAGATGATGGATCATTTTATCACGCTAGTGAATCAGAGGCCGACAGAATCCATCAGTCCTCTAAAAAAGAAGATCCACGTTTTATTCTTTTAATCATAAGCGCGCCGGAAATTCTTTTCTATCTACTGCTCATAAATCAGTCTGACACTTATGCAGGCCATTTTCCCTAATTGCATAGTTAGAGTAAATCTCGGTCGTTTCTGCTTCCGTTTTCTCTGGGGGACTCTATTAAATGAGACAACAGTGACCTGCACATTTCGTTCCCACCACTCGTCCGACGCATAGACCGTCGACGCACAGCAAAAGGGGGGGGGGGGGAAGGAAAGAAAATAGTTTCATTCTCCATTTGATAAACCGAATGACTGTTTAAAATATATCCACTTTGCCACAATCAAACCTCTATACTATTGGCAAAGGAGCTTTTGCAATCTGCATTTGGGCTTTTACTGAGACAGTAAATTGCTCGGCAGCTTCCATTTGATCTGCCTCAAACTGCTTCGAGCAGTCTTAAATTGATATCGTGCAGGCTGAAATGTAAAATAGACCGAATAAATTAACAGAAAGCCACCTCTTTTAAAACAGTGTGGTAAGCTTAAAAATACGTTTCCACCAACATATTGTACTGTAGCGAGTCTTTCCAGGATTGTTTCATCTTGGTGCTTCTTATTGCAATCAATAGAAAGAAGGATGCTGCGGCTCACAAAAGTTTATGCTTTTGTTAGTCTAAAAGGGTGCTACCGTGTTTCTTTGGACTTTTGCAAGCAGCACAATGTCCAATTCCCCTCTTTATATAGATTTCTTAATGTTTTTGTTAATTGTTAGTTGTAGATACTCCAATCTAATTTTAAATATGTATCTCAACAATTAGCAATTTGCACATTCAATTTTTCGGTTTTTCAGAAAAGGATCTCCCAATTTTATTGCCATTGCAACTCCAGAGCAGAATAATTTTAGTTCTTAATAACCTTTTCAAGAAATTATGTGAAACAAGTACAAGGAGTACAAGTGACTGAGGTGTAATGATAGATTTTAGTCTTTTGGTACAACATTTAACAGTGTTTCTCAAACCTGCGTAAATTACCCAAAATTGTGAAAAATAGTTTTTCTTTGCATTATAACGCACAAACCAATTACCCAATCACAACACAGGTATTTAAATAATGACTTTATGATAAGCAGTTTTGAGTAATGAAGGAAAGTTTGAGAAGCATTAAGCTAACACTTACTGTATAGTGAAGATGCAGTTTTCATAGCATTCCCAAGCAATACAGGGACAGGACAGGACAGGAAGCAGTTTCTTGACAAAGTAGAGGGATGGGCATTAAAACTTTCTGTTTTTGAAAAGTATTTTCCCTATTATGGAAAATTAAGTGTGCTTACTACCATATTTACTCAAAAGTAAATTCTATGGAATTCAGTGACATTATGGTATTTAGGACTTACAGCCTGCATCTAAAATGTACTTCTCTTGAGACAAACTCTAGCAGTTCCAAACCAAAAACAAATTGCAAATTGTATTATTTCCTTCTTAATAAGGGAAAACACAAGACAAAAGCCTCGAAAATGGAAGGCAGTGAAATCTGTACCACTGTAAAGAATCATGAACAAGACAGGGCAATCACATAGTTCTTTAGATGTGAGGGTCACTAATTTTATGATTTAAAAGGCTGAATTTAAGTTAATAGTTAATACATGTGTTCAGATTCTGACTTACAGTTCTTTCTTTTCAAACTTTTGCTTTAATATTTATGGGGTGGTGATGTTAATTATCTATATGCCTCTCTTATTTTGAACTCTTCTGGATTGAACCTTGGTGTCCCTAGGGAGCAAATTATTTAAGTTTTATGTGAAGCAATGTAGGATTTTTCTATAAAGGTTTGAAGAACGTGCGATGCAAAGAACGAAAGCTACACTGTGTATTTTTCAAGATCCTGGTAAAGTTTTGAAATGCAAGATTTGATTTTTCTAAATAATCCCAAATCGGCAAATAAAGGCGGGTCGTAAAGAAGGGTATGAGTAATCAGCATTAAAACCTTGTCTGCAATGTCTAAACTTCTTGTTGGGCAATCTGTGTTACAAAACTCTGCAGAGAACTTGTTTGGGCAAATCTGTGATATGGTAAATAGCTGCCGGTTTCGTCTTGTCCTGCAGATGAGAAGGGAAAGTAATAGAAGACCAGCCGCGCCCGTTCCATAGCGACGCGGACGGCTGTACAGACGCCTCGCGAGCCCTTGACAACAAGCCCCGGGGGCGATTATGCGAGGGAAGCGCAGTGCACTGTGGGAAACGCCCGGGCTCGAGGCTGCCGCCATTTTGTCTCTGTCACTCTCGGAGTGGCGCGGCTGCAGCGTTTTGTCGGGGAGTGGAAACAGTCGAGGCGGTAATAATTGGGTCGGTGACGGAGAGGCACCATGATTTCGGCAGCCCAGCTTTTGGACGAGCTTATGGGCCGAGACAGAAACCTCGCCCCAGATGAAAAGCGCAGTAACGTGCGGTGGGACCACGAAAGCGTGAGTGTTGCTGAGCTTGGGCCTCCGCTGTCCTTTCAGGCCTCCATGCTCTCAGTCTGTTTCGGGAAGAAAGAAACTCGGCATAGTCCTAAGTTTGCCTAGGCGAGCCTAAGATAGGAGGAAAGAGGACCCGGACCCGTTTTAACTGAGAAGTATGGCGTGGAAGAAAGCGATTAAACGGGTTGGAGGGCGTTAGGCCTCTCGAGGGGAGAAAGATGTAATGGGGTGGGAAGGGCTGTCTTCTCCAAACGACGCGGCCCTGAAGATGGAGGACGAGCCAGGCAACGAGGCCCGTCGCGCACCATATATTGAATCGCCGTATATTGAGACACTGTATGTTGAATTATTTGTAGTTTGGAAATGTGGCGCCTAAGACCGCGGGGTGGAGGAGGAGGTGCGCGCGAAAAGAGAGTGAAGGTTTTGAAGCGTGCGAGTCAAGACTTTAAAAACCGCAAACCTTTTCTTCTATTGAGGGAATGTTTTTTCACAATCGTAAATCTTTTATCATTCTGCGTGTATTTGCCACATTTCTAGTTCAGAGCAGAACTATATGATTTGCAGAGAACAAGGACATAGAATCATAAAGCATTTAATAGGGTTAAAGCGGGGGGAAATTATATATATGTTATAGCTAAGTAAAAAAAGTAAAAAAAAATATGAAAGATAAAATAAGTCAATAATCAAACAAATACCAGAATTTCATACCAAGGAGGAGCACAACATTTTTTCATACCCATTATGCCACTTGTGAGGGTTACCTCAGAAAATTCTCAGATGACTCTCTTGAATTAGGGAAAATGTTTCTGAATTTGAGATATTTGTACAACTAAGTTATAGCCTACCATAGAATAATAGAAAAAAGATAACGTTTCACTTAAGAAATAACCCACGCATTTATTTCAGCATATATTGAAAAAATGAGGTACTGTGTCTTGAAGTGATTTATAATACTAAATACTGATAAATTATATTGAGTTCATTGAGAGTTATTTCCAAGCAAGTGTATGGAATCCTAACTTTCATTGTCTCAAATGAACCCAATTTGAAGTATGACAGCATTTGCCTTTATTTGTTGTTCAAGGAAGTAGAAAACTTAATAAGCAGTGAAATACTTGCATAAATTCTTGTAGTAGCACTTCTCTGATTCAGAGTGTTGATTAAATTAGACTAATTAAATTTAAATTAGTTAAATTATCTAATCCTAGTAGTTTTGAAGAAAATTTACATGGTTTTAAGTCCCCATTTTTAGACTTAAAACATTAGACTAGATAAATTTATGGGTTTTTTAAAAAAAATCAGTATCTGGAATATACTGATTTTGCACATTCTACTATTTTGCACATTGAATTAAAAAAAAAGTCACATTGCTTGTAACTGCTGTACTACCTATCTCATCATCTTTTCTTCCATCAAGTAAGAGGGAACGTGCATGTTTATTTTAAATGCTTGCTAAAGGTGTCATAAGGCTTTGACTTTAAAACTATGCCATTCAAGTTTATCAGTACATCAACAAATAATCAAAATCTCTAAAAATATGGAAATATTACAGCTTCTTCACAGAATTATATAATTGGAGGGGACTTTAGGTCAACTCTGGGAATCTAGATAGGGTTGAGCAAACTTCAGTCCAACTACCAAGATGAAGTTACTTTGGTTCTTGCTTGGACTGATGGCTCCTCATCAAAGTGCATACTATTATCTTCATGTGGTGTACCAATTTTGCCCTTTCCTGGATCAGGAGGCACTGTGCTCAGTCATGCTTTGATCACCTCCTGAGTGGGTTCAGGTAATGCATTCTACATGGGACTGCCCCAAAGAACATCTAAAAGCTTGAATTAGTCCAGAATGCTGTAGCATAAGCAATTGTAAATATGTCTTCACTTTTTTTCATATTACACCTTTGCTTCTCAAGCTGCACTGGCTTCCAATTTGCTTCTGGTGCAATTTAAGGTGCTGGCTGTTACCTCTAAAGCCCCAATGGCATGGTGCCAGGGTATTTGAAAGACTGCCTCACTTCCATCATTTTTTACCTATCCCATTAGGTTGGGCAGGAGGGACATAGATAAATGCATATGGATTGCCAAGTGCCCAGATCGCAATCACATGACTGCAGGGGTGCTGCAATAGTCATAAGTTCAGGCATGGGTTGTAAGTCCATTCAGCACTGTTGCAATTTTGAATAGTCACTAAACGAATGCTTGTTAATCAAGGATTACCTGTGTGATAGCACTGAATAGTCATTGAAGTTACAGCAGTTGCAACGCCCACATGGTCACATGATCAAAATTCAGGCACCAGGCAGCCCACCCACTCTTATGACTGCAGAGGGACTTCAGCTCCCCCCCCCCACATCATCTCTCTCCATTTGGTGCCCTGCACAGCAGCACTCTTTGACAGCACTGGGGCTGAAGTAGAGGCCTGGGCCTTCAATAGTTTCAGCCATCCACTGTCCCTGAGCCTTTACTTTAGCCCCAGTGCCACTGCCTGGAGATTCTGTTCTCTTAATGCAGTGGCTTTTTTT